TTCCGGCACATTGGGTGTGAAATTGTGCATCGCCCATTTTGGCGCGCCAAGGCTGCCGCCGATGCATGTGCGAGCACAGCCTTTCGATCCTTACGATATGCATGGATTCCGCGCGCTCGTGAGCATGCTTGGGCGTGGAGATGTCTGGGTCAAGTTCTCGGCTGCTTATCGCTTTGATGGTGACGCTGAGATGCGCGGCATCGAGGCTATAGCCCGCGAGTTGCTTGCAAGAGCAGGGGACAGGGTAGTTTTTGCTACGGACTGGCCACATACTCGGTTTGACGGGCTTGATGTGCGGCCTTTTGTTGAGAGGTATTTGCAGTGGACTGATGAGGCAGGGCTGACGGAGAAAGTGTTCACATTGAATGCCAGAGAGCTCTGGGATGTTGGGGATCAATGAGGTCAACCGAAATCGGGTCGCCACAATCGTTGTCTGATACCTGATCGCGGGTATCCTGTCATAGCAAGGCATGACTGAATAAGATTGTCATTCAGATGGCTGTAAAACTGACAAGCTGGTGTTTGGGATATTAAAACATGGAATGCCAATGTATACTCATATCTGCTACTTCCTACAGCTGGCTTCATAACCCAACTCCTAGCAAGAGACCTTCGAAGACTCAACGTCCTCCATTACACTGCGCACCACACCCCTCCCCCGAACAAGACTTGGGATCAAAACTCGTACAGTGGCACTCCTTGTGCACACACCTCATTTCCAACATCGCCACATCACGCCCCATCAAGCCCATCAACTCTGGCAAAGCGATGCGCTTCCCTCCAGTGTTGCACTGTGCACCGCAGCCCTCACCAGAGCAGGTAGAGGGGTCGAAGCCGGTACAGTGGCATTCCTTGTGGACGCAGCGGGCTGCTAGGAGGGCGTAGTCGAGACCCGTCGGGGTGCGTTTGACTGAGGATGGGGCCGCAAGGGCGAGGGAGGTGAGGGTGAAGAATAGGGTGATGGCCAGCTTCATATTTGGTGCTGAGGAGATGTTAGATAGGAAACTGGTGAGTACTGGGTGGTTGATTGTCGTACTTCGTGATACGATTCAAGGAAGAAGATGCAATCGTGTGTTGAGCTTGAGCAGCTGAGGGATCAATCTTATGGATGTGAATGGCAGTATGGTAGTCGCAGCACACGAGGTATTTATCTTTCCAAAGATTAATTCCGACAACATGCCTTCCGCAGCACTCAGTTGTGGAGTTTGGGGGCAAAGTAAGCTTTTCAATACGAGAGCCAATCGCAAATAAGGACTTGTCAACAGCTGACCACAATCAAAGACAGTCTCTTCCAAGCCTTGTCCCATATTCTGTTTTGAGGTACCTGCCACACACGAACGGCGGGGCCTTGCATTGGAGCAATGGAGGCTTGCATTGATGGGTGTCAGCGCTATGCTTGACAGCTTAAGATCACTGCGTGGAGAAATAGTATATGTCGGGGTTAGGATGCAGGTCTTGGTATATGTTCGCACTAAGTGGTCCCTTGAAGACCATTGGCTATTCCATGCTCAAGTGCTGATGGGAGGCCGGGTTGTTGGGACATGTCCACCAATGCTCGGACGCCTCTCAGAAGATAGGTGCGTGTCGGTAGCGGTGCAGACCAACAAGAGGCACCGAAGTGTGTGGACGTACGTCACAATGACATGAGTATTCATGGGTCAATACTCTCGGAGTTTGATGTCGGTTCATAAAATTTGGCACAAAGTTGGGTATTTCGATAATCTTGAGGGCTGGATAACTTCATGAACATCATAGTTTGTTTTCGTCTATAGCGTAGCTCTGGCGTTGCAGGCACTTGAACTCAAATCCTATAACGGTGGCGCGAAGTCGTGGGTTCTTATGGTCTGTATCTCAAGATCCATGTCAAAGTCCTCCGATGCTGAGCTCTTCGCAGGGGATTGGCCTTTCTCCGCGTCCAGAGAAGACAAGCCCACTAAAGTCGTCGACTGCGTTCCCTTGCTTTCGTGCATGTCAACTTGAGACCCCCGGGTTCTTGTATGTAGGCCTGAAGAAGCGGTCTGTTGCGTCACATTGGTTGCGATGCTTACAGTGCGCGCATGAGGGTGGAAGGTCCATGCCTGCACATTTTCATCGAAGTCGCCGACTTCAAACACCTCGCGCAAAAGCGTCCACGTGAACGGCACGTTCGCGACTATGATGGCCATGGACGCTTCGCGGATGTACCAAAACATCCAAGTGCCGCTGTATGGGTCCGAGAAGGAGTAGTAACTATTCAGTGCTGCTGCAGCAACAGTGAAGATGCCAAGTGAGAAGATGCCACAAAGGACCAGTTTCCGCTTCCAGGGAAGCCTTGAACGTAGAAGCATTGGTAACGCGATCGTCAACATGACCAAATCTGACGAGATGTTGATGATGGCTTTGGTGATCCGATGGTGCAGCAGCGTGTTGCACTGTATGGAATTTGTGGGAACGGCGTAGTATTCCGGAAAGGGACGACACCAGACAGCAAAATACAACACTTGCATGGCGATATATCCGAGCGCCACATATGCGAAGAGAATCCTAATTGCAATGTGTTCGATGCGTTGAGCCGTGCGCGTCAGTCTGTAGTACATAATGAGCAAACACACTTTGCATGACCAGACTACCGATATCTGCATCTGCTCTGTCACGATCATCATCTTGCTGCCGTAGACGCGCCGCGAGATCTGATCTTCGCCGAACGCGCTGAAGTCGAAGTCCCGGGGCTCTAGATTCGACCTAGCTTTCTCCCATCTGTTGGAAACTACCATCAAGGCAGTGTAGCAAGTAAAGGTAAAGATGCTCATGATCCAATCGTCGATCTGGAGGCCTCTCAGCGAACGGAAGAGGATCCGACGTGCGATGCTGTCAAACTGTCAGCCTGATGCAGCTCGATATGGATTGTAAAGGTGTGTAAGCTTACAGTCGAGCAATGATCATGCCTATGCCGCAGATGTACCATACCCATGACTCGCGACTGAAGGGCATCGCCATTGTAAAAGCTCTGTTCAACTACAACAGTGCTGGCGATGGTGATTTCTTATCCGGGGTCCAGCTGAATACTCCAAAATCGCTGTGGCCGGCTGTGCATGTTTCGGCGCGTGATAAGCTCAAATGCGCAGTTGGTGCAGCTAACTGCTACGATGTATGGTCGATTGCTGATGAACAGAAGAGGTGATAAAAGACAATGGATTGCGCAGCGAGATGAAAGTAAAAGTAAAAAGCAGAGAGGGAGGAAGGGAGCAGCTGAAGAAGATACCAAGCTGATCTGATGCGGTGACGGCTGCGGTGATGTGTGATTCGCTGATAGGCGCATTCGCAGGGTGCCACGCGATGGTGTGCATGGCGCATGTTTGGGTGGATCGAAAGCGTGTTCGCTGTCACCGCAAAGTTTGCGGGACGATCCTCCGATCCGATTGTTAACCGTTCAAACGACCTGCACACGATGAATCTGAGACATACATTGTCCAGCGTATTGTCTTTTATCGATTGCTAGTGAACTGCGGACGTCCCTGCAGACGGCGATAACGGGATGACGCAGCATCAAAGGCCGTATAAAGTCTGCCTGTCCTACTTGTTGAAGCAACAAAGTAGAGCAACATGTAACGAGTTGTCGAGGTTAATTTATCAAGATATTGGGCGAGGATCAAGCCTGATCGGGTAATTTGCACCCACCCTGCGCTGGCGCGCTGGCAGGTAAGTACTTAGGCGCAGGCGTACATGGCAGGTGCGAAGGGTGTTTTAATAAACCTAACAATATTCTAATCATCTCAGCAGCTTCGCATCCTTCGTCGCTTAGCCCTCAAACATACTGCACTATGACTTCACACTTCCCAACCTGATTCGAGCGCGTCCATATTCCGAGCAGTGGTGAAGTCACCAGATGTGAGAATATGTCACATGCCTCAGGTGAAAATCAGTTGATCCAGATCAAGCAGCCAGATCAATGAGTCGGTGTGATTAGCGGTGAACAGCTCACCACCATTGGCATTTCACCGTCAGGGTTCAACTTGAAGAGAGCAATGAGCCACTCTGCACCATTGATCAGTTGATAGATGTTCCAATCATCAGCCAAAGCCGCCATGTCGACATCCTCCCCTTCACTGAATCTAACCATGTCCGGTCAATCTTCTTAGGAGACAATCAGTTTGAGAACACGTTGCATCGATTTTGATCTGCTTACAGGAAGTTGAAATGAACTGCACCACAGTCCACTATGTCCCCGGCTGTAAAGCTTTTCATATACATCTAGAGCTCAAGTTGGCGTAAAAGTAAAGGCGTTGAACGGAGCAAGGGAGTCGTCTACGTCGAGTACTCAACCGCTCGCTTTGGGAACCGATTTCTTGAAACCATATATAACATGCACGCCGTTGTGAAGACGCCCACCATCCACACATGAGAAATCTGTGGCTACTATCTTTTAGTTCGACAGCGGCCAGTTCTCTACGCATACTGCACCTGCGTTGTCATATTCGAGATGGCATATGCATGTGAGCATAAGAAACATTCCAGGTAATCCGAGCAGTGTCAGAGACCAAAGGCAAACACGTGTTTTATATATTAAGATTATTTCCGATAGAAGCAGAGGACTTAGGACATATTGGGATTTGCGCTCGTTTAGGACGAGAGGGAAGGAGAGGACATAGAATGATTTCTTCGGTTTTCAGAATGATGAGAACGATGTTAAAACCATTCATGAACACTTCGCTATTCTTAGAAGAAGACGGTGTCCAGAAACCTCAAATTTGTTTGAGCAATCACACTTACGAGAGCTGACACTGAGGCACAAAATCGTGTAGAAAAATACCGGCAGAACAGAGCAGTTGTATCGTTTCTTTAGTCCAGCGTTGATATCTATTGGAAAAACAACTTTGTGCAGGCTGATGAAGAGCCTGCGATTGACTGTGGAGTTTTGCCAAGACCTAAAAAAACACTGGGGTCCCGAACAGCCTCCCCACCCACCCACCCACCCACGACACGAGTGATCAAGAGTGTCCTAGTAGTGGGAACGCAAAAAACGACGCCGGCAGGACTCGAACCTGCGCTCCCGAAGGAACAAGCTTTCTAGGCTTGCGCGATAACCACTCCGCCACAGCGCCCCATTGTTGCTGTTGTTGTACAGCTCTGATAACAACTTCTCGCTCAAGAAAAATATAATCTCAAAATAATGCTCACCCCACTTCAAAAGAGAGGTACTGCACTATCAGGCCTTCATTGGATCAATTTTGGAAGGAGAACACCTAAAAATCGATCATACGTCTAGACGGCATGATTTCGAGGGATGCGGAATCAATAATAGACGGACCTGATGTGCTCCAATCGAAATTTAGACAGAGAAGACATAGATCACTGCTTGATCGTTCTGAGAGAACAAAGCAGTACGCCATCATGTTATTCATAAGTGAACTTAGTGGTCGCTGCGGTTTAGTGACCATAGCCGACCTGCGATTTTATACTCCAAATTCATTCCACAAGACTCCAGAGATCAAGAACGTTGTCCATACCACAAGCATAGATGCAATGCACTTTTGATACCTTTCTGTCATTCAAGAGAAGCCAGAGGTGCATGTGATTTCGAACAACATCTTTTGAAGTCGGTTGATAGCATAATATGTGCAGAGAAGCCTTATCATAGTTGAGATTAGATCCAAGAGCCGTAGCAGAAGATGACTAGTAGTTCTTGAAGCTTGAGCTCCTTTCTACACTTCGATCCAAAGAAGAGACTGCCGGACACTCCAGCATTGGAGTATTACTTGAGACAGAAAGATCTTTGGGTTGACGATTCGTTGAGAAGATCTTAGAGATGAAGGGGGACTGTAAGGTTTTTTGAATGTGGTAGAAGTTCCAGGCAGAGTTTTACTGGAGCGCGCGTCTCGAGCCACAAACAGAAAGGAGATATTGGAACCTTTCGATGCCGTATCTTGAACTCAATTTTTTAAGACAGAAACCTCGACCAGTGCACGAGTTTCACAGGGCAGATAGAGAATGCCCATGCTGTTGAAATGGTGATACTTGTATGCCCAAAGCCTGGCAAGCAAAATGGCTGATTGCGAGGACGCTTTTCGAAGCATTGAGAATGTGCGCACTGAAATTGACACATTGGCAGCCAAGGTGCAGTGTCCAGCCACAAACACATGCGCTTGGAAAGCACACTTTTGTGCCATATCATTGGTTCAGTATGTTGAAAGATTTATGATACAACCCCTACGGGAGCAGTTCTAGGACAGAAAATAAAATATCCATACCTCATAACGTTGGTCATTTTGAATGTTCGAAGTCAGACAAGCACCATACGCTTGCTGTAGTGTCATTTTGGTGTATCCAAATTTTGACTGGAGTGATTCACATAGACAGCGAAAAAGCCTTGTCGAGAAAAAATATGTATCGAGTGCCTCAATGTGATGATATATAGATTTTGATACATTTCAGGAAAACATGAAAGAGAAGGTTAGAAAGATCCACAGGAAGAACCCGACATGTAATAGTCAAATGGACTTTCAAGTGCCAAACGAAGTGTGTGGTGTTGAGAAGTGGAGGAAAGAAGAGCTGCACACTCAGAAATATTCATCCAAACGTTTGGAGAGAAAAGTGGGATATGAGCCATTGTACTGTGGCTATCAGAGAGATCTATGCTATTTGAGTGAGATAGTCTGTCGGACGCACATGGGTCGCCGTACTAGTCATCTTCTTTGACAGAACGACAAAGGTGGGCTCGGAGTAATGAGACCATATTCGAAGGTCCAACTTTGCGACACCGCACCCACACATGTGGCGGTTACGATAAATAGAATTCGAGTTCAATATTGAAGCGATATTCGAAGGGCCAGAACATGTCCCAAATTATATCTTCTTTTGAGAACACGGAAGGAGACAAAATGCCAAATCTCAGATCCACAGTTTCAAGACAGAGGATGCCCGAGAATTTTATGGGTATCGAAGGAAGAAAGGCCAACCACTTGTAAAACAATTCTTGAGGTGTTAAGGAGATGTTTGAAGAGGCAAAGATCCGATAGTCGTCCGCTCACTCAAGCTCGTAGCAAGAAGGATAGAACGTTGCGCTGTTCTGAAAGTTTTCGAGGCATGGCAACTCGAGATATGATTGAAGGATACAGAGATAGAAAGCCTCAGAAATATTTATAGCCAAATCCTTTCGAAAAGGGCAACATACAGCATACGTATTACTGGTAGAGATATTAGGGCTGACTTGATTCGGATCAACGTATTGAGGAGATATCTGAAAAGCAAAACATCCAGCGCAAGTGCATATTTTTGAGAGCATGGGAAGAGAGCCAAAACATGACGCGAAAGGAGATATTCTTTTGAGACAGAAAAGATGCAGAAATCATTAGAAAGCCTTAAGGAAAAAGCCTAGCAGCTTGGGATTCAATATAGCTGAGTCTATTGTAGGAGAAAGAGGCATTAGTTAACTTGTGTGCCATCTTGGAGATATCTGGGCTGATTTGATATAAGTCGATATGTCGTGGAGGAATATGAAAGTCCATACTACATGCAGTGATTGCTGATGTATCTTGAGTTCGCATATCAGAGTCTTCGTCGCTTATCGAAACAAGAGATTTCTTAGAAGATGTTGGTTATGCTGATAGAGTAAGCCCCAAAGCTTAGGAAGATATATAAACAGAGGTCTTTTCGAATGGAAGGGACATTTCGGCACTCCGTAGACCTTTTGGAGAAGATCCAGCGTGATTTTGTGTGAGAAGATCTCCGACCCGCACACAAGTTTTACGGGGATATTCGGGAGACTATACATAGTGAAGTAGTTGTCCAATTCTGAGAATATAGAGATTTAGAGAGACAGAAAGAACTTAGATCCTTTTTGGAGACTTTTGTTGAATGGAAGATCCCATGAAATACTATATATCTACATAAAAGAAAGCGTAATATACTCAGATATATATATATATATATAGGAGGCCCCTTCGAGCATTATGGTGTTTTCTTCCAGCAAGCAATCCAGCGCGTTTTGTTCTCAGAAAGCTTGCTGCACACACACACACATATGTCTTTATCTGTTCAGTTCTGACGAGTTATTCACACATGTGCCGGGCACTAGATTGTTTCAAGCACGAATAGAGCGATAGACCGGGCACAGATTACTACGAATAACCTTCTGAAACAGGAGAGTTTTACCAAAGATCAAAGTATATCAAGGAGGAAAGATCCAGAATAAATTCATAAGGAACATATGCCGCACACCCACACGGGACAGCGGTAGCACTTTTTTAGTTTGGAAAGAATATTCACATGCGGCTCTCGCATTTTGAAATAGTCCGCAAAATAAACTAGGCTAGCTCCACGCTTTCAAAGTTTTCGACCGCGGAGAAAGATAGGGACAGAATATGCGCTCATACCAATTCTATTTTGAGACAGAATCATTCCGGAATACTGTAAGATATACGAAATGAAGCGCAGTGCGCTTCGGAGTATATTTGGACGAGTACTTCACGCAGAAACATTCTTATTCTGGTATCCCTTTTGAGAGAAATGCGGATCTGCTGCGCACGCACTTGTAGAAGCAGATCAGCCGTTTTTTTTTTTGAACAGAACACGAAAAGCAGTCGTCTCACATTCCAGAAGGACCTGCGAAACGAACCCGACGTTTGGAGTTCGTGTTACTGCTTCTAGAAAAGCTAAGAGGATTCCAGAATTTTGAATAGACTATGTGGTTTTGATTGAACAGCGGCCGATCAAACACATGCTCGGCAATATGTCCTTTTTGGAGCGAGCAGAGAGAGAAGGAACATGCTAGGTAGGCTGAGTGTATTTAAATCGAGCAGAGAGAAACCGCAAATTCGAGAGGATAATTCATGATTAGGAAGAAAGAAAACAGTTATTGATCTTTCAAAATCGAAATTTAAGTACCACATGGTCCTTAATGATAAAGCAACTTATAAATAGCTAATAAATATCCTAATACTACAAGTGCAGGCGCTGCGCGCTACCTAACGCTTATCTAGGCGCAGCCTATATAGATCTCTACTTGTCTTCCCCTTTGAGAATCTACTCTTTTTGGTCTTTCTCTCACCCTCTCTTCCTCTCCACAAACCTTAGCTTGATCTCCTTCGCCGGCTGAAGTACGATGTCCGCATGAAGGCCGGGATCTTCGCCGGCCATAAGGTTCTCAATGCCGCTGAACCGCTGCAGCAGGCGGACAAGAGTATATCCCATCTCTGTTAACTACGTACAGTCAGTCAATCTTTTAACAATGACTTTAGGGCGGGTCTGGGAGAAATACAGCAAATTGTTGACCAACACATAAGCGCGGGCCTCCATTGAAAGGTATATTTGTCTGTGAAAATAAAGACGTTAGTCACAAAACTTCATCCTGAGCGAAGTCTACACTATGCCTAAAGACTTACCCACGGTTTGGGGGTCCAGGAGTCCCAGCGTCTGTGGTGCGCGAGTTAGTCATGTCCGGCACCACCGGCGCGGAATAGTCTTGAGTGCCTACTTACTCGGGAACGTAGTGCGTCGGGTCTGCAAAGCCTGTCTCAGGGCCTGGGTAGATGTCTGCGCGGCGCTGCATGACTAACGTGCTGTACCCGATTGGCGTACCTTCCAGGATTCCTATGGGTTGGTCGCCGTTCGGGCCGCCGCCTGTGGGCAGCGTGGTGTCTTTCAGTGCCAGGCGGACGTTGTAGGGAACGACAGGGTAGAGTCGCAAGGTCTCGTTGAGGACGTGCTGTAGATACCTCATGTCTTTGAGATGCTGGTACGTCGGTTGCTGGTCCAGACCGACCATGTTGATGATTTCATTTCTGAGCTTTGCAGTAATGCTGGGTGAGAGAGACAGGTGGTAGAGTGTCCATGTGAGCGTGCATGCGGTTGTGTCGCGGCCGGCCAGCAGCACGGCGACAAGCTGGTCACGCAGCATCTTGCGGTCGCGTGTGTAACCTGCGATAGCATGAAGAAATGTATACCCGGAACTATGGTTACTTTTCTCGCTCAACTCCTCAGGCGACAGGGCAAGCGCCTTGTCGATGTACAAATCCACAAATTCGTCGATGGTTCGGATACTAGAGTAGAAGCCCATCCGCTCGCGCGGAACAGCCCAGTTCAGAGGTCCCACGCGTGCGATGAT